GTAGATATTGCGTTACTGTCAGCTGCTACTGATGACCCTCCGCTCCCTGCACCTGAGGTTCCCGAGGGCTTCTCCAATGACCTATTGGCTAGGATTCGCTCTGAGCAGCAGGATGATCCCCTATGCAAGAATATTGTCCGAGTCTTCTCTGGGAGCTGTTCCGACTTCACTGCGAGCTATATTCGAAACCTCAAGAAGTTCTTCAACATCGATGATGATGGCTTGGTTCTCCGCACCGTCGAAGCCCCTGATGGGAGACCTACCATTGTTGTCCCCTCCACCTTGGCCAGTGAAGTGATTGAAGCGGTACATGTATGTGCGGGTCATCCTGGTCGTGACCGCACTCGTCAATTGGTGTCCCGTTATTTCTGGTGTAAGGGTCTCTTCCCCCTATCTCGGTCGGCCAACCGTATCGTATGCTCATGCGATACCTGTAGGCGTACGAAGAGCACTAGGCTGCACCGGCATGCCCTTGGACGGGCTCGTATCCGATCCTCACTTCCAGGTGAGCTGCTTGGGATTGACTTGCTGGTCTACAATTCGGTGTCTACTGATTCCCTCAAGCTGAGCCCATGGAGTGCCGAAGTTGACACTGCCCTGCAGAGCGTCGGTAACCCTCGTAGTGATGGCCTTGCTGACTCCTTGCCGACACCTAAGTATATCCTGATGATCATATGTGCGGCAACCTACAGGATATGGACTCGCACTCTCTGCACCAAGTCTTCAGCCGAAGTTGCGACGGTTCTCGGTGAGCTCTTGGATGAGATTTCGCCCAGTGTCTGTCTGGTTGACGGTGGGAAAGAATTCGCCAATTTGCTTGTACGTGGGATGTTTGTGGCCAGAGGCATTCAGCTGCTGATGTTGCCTCCATTCTCGCCCAATTTGGCCTTCTACGAACGCTGCCACAAGGAGTATCAAAATGGGTTGAGAGCCATGCTGCTGGAGACAATTCACCGGCTTGCTACTGGTGGAAGTTTCACAGCCTGGTCACCCACGCTTAAAACAACTCCCCATTACCTGGCTCCTCTTTAGCTGCTGCTGCTGTCACCCCTAATGACTTGTATCTTTCCAAGGGTTCTACAACGTTGCTACCCGGTGGAGCTGCTGATCGCCCTCTATCACCCGCTGCCGAGCACTTCATTGAGCGTTTGAGGCTATTCCCCCCTCCGAGCTGGCCTCTAGGTAAACAACAACGTAGCTC